GATAAACAAACCGAGATTACATCTAATGTTTTTCATTATAAATTAAATTAATTAGCAAAATTAAAATATTTAATATTATCCGATTTGGTTTGCAATAAGTAAAAATAATTATTAAAGTTTAAAATCTATAAAAGTCGTAACATGTATATGTATTTATTTAATAATATGTAATAGGAAAAGCAAAATAGCAAAACAAAGTTAATGATTAATTACAATTGCTATTTGTTTTTTTCTCGCTTCGAAATTCACTCGGTTATTAGAAACAATATACTTATTATATTTTCTCGTAAATCTTATAAACGGCGTCTCCTGCGTAAATATATGTAGAAGTAACGAGACCGAGTGTACAGTATATTTATAGAAAATAAAAAAGTCGACGGACACCATCGGACTGCTGCCAATTATACCATTTTTTAGTTACCGATCGTTAAATCTAATTTTGATCACGGAAAATTGATAAATCTCTCCGGGTGTGCCACGTTACCGGCACATCCGCCGCGTTCCCGTACAAAGGTGTGACCACTATGTGCACGCATATTTCAAAATGTCAACAAATTGTTCGTAATCATTTCGTGACCACTATTTTCGAATTCGTAACTTGATTTCGAACCCGTACGCACCGATCTCCCCGGGCAGCTGCATGTTGTACAGATACGCGATGGAAATCGAGCAGAGACAAGGAGCTGATCGAGGCTTTCGCGTCGTCGTCGAAATGGCAAACGTCTGCAACGATATTGTTACGGGTGCAGGTGATGCAGCGGTGGTCTTTAAAGAATATAGAAGAAGAAACGAAAAGTAAACGTTTGGTATTAAGAGAGCCCTTTCCGTTGCGTTATTGACCGGATTCATTAATATTTCGGAAAGTCGCGTGCACGCACAACGAGAGGATGAGGGGGGAGGGTGGTGGTGGTTCATTACGAGCGCAGCGAGGGCGAACTTTTGGAAGGCGAAAAAGCCGAGACAAAGAGTCGCCGCGCGGGAAACTACGAGGCCGCGGAGTCTCTCTGCTCCGCCTCGCAGCGCTCTCGCTCGCCCGTCCGCCGGCCCGTGTATACCGTATAATAAACCCTGTTATTGAAAACGTTTATTAATTTAATAATAAGCTCTTAGGAGGCCCCGGCGACTTAGGAAAAAGAAAATTTCGGATCAACGCTTGTGTGTCGCCGCCGCCGCTACCGCCTCTTTTCCCCGGGCGCGCACTTATTTAGCTCAACTTTGCCGCCGCCGGTTTTAATTACAAAATATAATAACACCGACGCCGCGAGTACCGTCGGAATATACGTAGCCGGTCTTTTTTCTCGCCCCCTTACCGTGCCGGTGTCGCGCCGTATTGCGCGACTGTTTTTTCTTTTCCTTCTTTCCCACCCCCTCCCCACCCCTCTCTTCCCACTGAACTATGTCTCCGCGGTCCGTCGAACAGCGCGCGGCCGTGCAAATGCGATACTCGAAACATTATGGTAATGCGTCCGCGTCGTCGTAACAGTCGTATTAAAAACTGGCTAGAAATCGCGCGGTGGCGACAAGCGGCTCGCGCGGAGGAAAGGGGAGAATACACAAATGTGTATAAAAAAAAAAAAAAATAAATAAATAAAAATACGAGTAAATTCAGCGTCTAGGGGATGCAAATCGCCGTTTTACATCGCAGACAATGTTCGACCCTTATTTATACGCACAGCGTCATAAATCACATATATTATAAACAAGAAGTCACGCGAACGGCCAACTCATAAATAATAACAATATTAAACATTGAGACTATGCCGACTCTATTTGCTTCTACATTTGATTACATAATACATAAGACATAGGGACCACGTAGTAGTTGTAGTTGCGATCCGTGCGCCTATGCGTAGGCTCGCGACTATATATTATTATTGTGTTCGCGATGCGGAACTCGTGATTCCGCACCAACTCACCCTATATTATGTACATGTTCCGAGAGACGTTCGAAATTATATTTTATGGCCGACTGTTTTCAAGTGTTTGACCGTGAATCGTATGAATCATATCCCAAAATAAATAAATCCAATCCGAATTGTAAAAAAAAAAAAAAAAAACCAAAAAAATACCCATTTTAATGTTCAGGCTTTAAATATTTTGAAGGATTCAACTATAACCCGAAATAATCCCATTTAATATTTAAATTATAATAATAATTTATCTGAGAAAGAAGAGAGCTGTGCCTTTTATCATTTACCTTAATTTCCAACGTTCTAGAAAGAATGAACAATGTAGATATTTCTAATTATAAATTATATTTTGCATATGCTTGAAGCTTTCAGTAATTTTATAGTTGAATTGCTAAAATATGTTAAGAGCTAAACGAAATTTAAATCAACCGTCTGATTATTACAATGATATTCTTAGGAACGGCCGTATTATATTACGGCGATAAACAGCAGTATCCATTGCTTTTGATTATTTATTCGACTTCTTGAATTTATTTTTTTATAATATATTGTATAATGATTACGACGGAATGAACACACAGTTCTAAAGTTATTGAGGGTGTTCACTTTTGAATGGGTTCGCGTCCCCGTTAAAAATATTTCTTCAAATATTGTGGGTAAGTTTTCATAAAGAGTAAGTCTGACAAATTTGCGGTAGATCATTATAAACATTTTGTTCAACAAGTTCAAATGGATAAAACTTTCAAGTTTCAACGCCCACCAAATCGATTTTTGCGTTCCGAGTAATTATATATTTTAATTGTGAGAAAATTAACCCAAAGTAGAATAATATTATTATACAATTTGAATACATTTACCTAAAAATATTTTCATGAATATTATAAGTTATTTTTATGTACTAGTTTAATTATCTGGCTTCACCCGTGTGATATTATACTATTTTAGGCAATAAAATTACTATATCGATAAGAACGATTTAAATAACCACAGTATATTCTAATAATATTTGACTATACTTGTGTACATAAAAAATTTCACCAAAACGTTACAAAATATCATAGATCCAAACCAAAACTTAAAGCTGTTTCGACCGTTAAAAATGCAATTTTCATAAAAGTTCTTTCTGAACGTTTGAAACGTATAATAATAAATGTATTCACTCTAAATATCAAATGAATCGGTATCAACGTATTTGCTGTACGCTGATGAATAGACGATTGTGTGGTATTTGAATTATATGTTTAAATGGATTACATTATTTACATATAGACAATTAAATATTGTATTTACCGCTTTGTTGGAATATTTAAATAGTTGGTATGATACTAATAACGATACTATTGAACACGAATAAAAATCAAACAAAACCGTTTATGTTTACGAAAGGAATATCACTACTTTTTAATAAGAACTGTCACTGTGCATCAGTTCCTTTTTATGTAATCGTTAAAGACGAATAAAAAAAACTTAATATTCGTTGTAGGTATAATCCGTATATTATTTTATCATATATATGTTATTTACTATATTGAAGATTTATAATCGAATTATTTATGCGTTTTGAGGAAACACTAAAATACACAACACGTTATCGTTGTAAAGAAGTTGATATAGTTTTATTTATAAGAACAAAAAAAAAATCTATTAAAACTATTATTTTTAATCAAAAAATTATTTTTTTCGTGTATTTCTTGAAAAATATGCTGTGCTTTACTAAATGTACCGATATAAATACGTAACAGCAAATAAATAATATGAAAGATTTATATTCATGGATATTGAATGTGGATATGAATATTTGAATATGGTTTGATGCGAATAGTTATACAATCAAATGCCATAGAAGAGGCAGTCACATAAAAATTAATCGTGGATATCAGAAGATTTTAACATCTTTATTCGTTTACAATTATTGAAACTATTTGCTAAGTATAGTTTTGTTATCATTAAAATATACAAACAATTTTTGTGTTGTTTATTTATTTATTTTTTTCATTCTGTTTTACTCGTATTTACATAAGTTACCAACGCAAATTAAGACGCACAGCATTAAATCCATCTTACCTTGTCTCATGGTTTTTATATTTTCATTTTCGTAATACAAAGAAAAGTATTCATTAATATAATTTAATTTTAATTTTCCGTAAGTAATATGTAAAAATCAAAGACATAACATCAATTCGTCCTAGTGGATTTCATCTGGTTTTCAAAAAGAAGAATCGACTGAAAAGGGGTTTAATCGTTTTAGCTACCGCTAACTCGACACACGTATGATATACGTTACATATTATGTAAAAAACCATTTCACCGTGACGGACGTCTAAAATCGTACGCAAATATACACAACACATAAAAAATTTTTTTTACGATTAAGTTTCACTATTCACTTTCTAGATCTATTGAAATATTGTTCGGCTGGTTAACATTGGTTAAATTACTTTGTAAACGTATTTCAAAAAACTTATTATACGGTATCATACTATATCGTATATCGTGTCTATATTAGTAAGAATCTGTGCAGTACTATACGTGATATTTTCGGATACATTTCGAAAAAAAGACTAACCGTTCACGAACCGCGTATCTTACAATACGAAACATTATACAGGGATTGCGTTTTTCGAACGGACGAAAACGTGAATCGACACGAGAAAACCAAAAAAAAAAAAAAAAAAACATTTTGTCGCCATCGAGTACAAATATTGTACGTTGTTGAACATATTTTCAACCGTATACAACCGCGTATCGAAAGAGAGCTGTTCACATTAGGAACACATAGCACAGGAAAATGTTTTGCAGGAAGTTAAGATTCAGGAAGACATGTTTCGATATGAAAGTCAACAGCGAAAATAACGCGATCCAAAGGAGTCGCAGGGTATTTTTAACAATGATATTTTCCTGCGTAATTATTATCCCGCGATTGGAACAGGTATATTCCCTGCGGCTTGATACTTGATTTTCACATACTCCAGCTACGAGGTGAGACGTGAAACGATAACCGATAAAGCATCGGCGATCCGCGTTCCGTCGGAAATCATTTGTCGCCCGCGCCGTTATTATTTCCGTACCGTACACGATTGTTTGACTTACTGCACGACTCGTTACCGGAGTTTGTCGATCCCGCGACGCGTCCAGCGCGGTCGAATCGGTTTTTCGCTCTCCGGACACGGAACTCCGCGACGACGACAGTTGCGCGTCGGCGGACACCCGACAGGAGATGCCGCGGTAACAACGCGCGTGCGGCGGGACGATCGTTAACCACGACCGCGGTGGCCGCGGCCCGAGCGACCGCACGGTACCTACTACTGCGGCAGCGACGGTGGTTTACGGCGACGGAAAAAGTTGACGACGGCCCCGACGGGGTGTGCGGCGGCGGCGGCGGCGGTGGTTGGTCGGGGTTTGCGGTTAACCGCAGCCAATCATTTCGGCGAAATATCGCGCGCGGAGTGCTTTTTTCCACCTCGGCCACCCGCCGCCGCGATCGTCACCGCAACGGGGCGGACGAAACCGCAACCGCGACGGTGTCGATTCGCGACGGGCAGGGCGTGCGGCCGCGCAACCGGAGGCGTTTCCTATACCCGTACGTGCGCGCGCGTGTTCGTGTGCGGCGACAGTTGTCTACGCTCCGGACTAATCCCAAGCGCATCGGCTCGACCCCGACGAGTGAACGAATTGTGCGCCCAAAATTAAAGCGAACGCGGAACGTAAGGGATCGCGGCCGAGGAAAGCCGTCGGCCGAAGCTCGCGAGCTATTAGCCGTTCGTATATCACCTTATGGTCCGTTGGATCGTTTGCGCGAGCACGGCCCTGCGGAGATCGTCGGGAGCTGTACGCGATCTACTGATACGTGCGTCGGCAGGAGGGTGAGCTGAACATGAAAAATGGGACGAGGAGTTGCCGGTGAAAAACGGAACCCGATTTATAATTAAGACGGAAAACGGTTGAACGGGACACCCGCGCAAGCGATACGAAAACGTAGAACCATACAGTTTGGAGCAGTGGCGTCCTTGTACTGGGGGGAGGGATGAACTTTGTACATTATATGCAAGGTAGGCCACTCGAGGTATATTTCGATATAGGCACGATTGTAGATATACAGCGTACTTGTATGCATTTTTCTGATATGTTAGAAATAATAAATAACGAAATTCGAAAAAAAAAAAAAAAGGGTTACAGGGAAGAAAACTGCCTCATTACGTAAATAGTCCTGCGGTCGTGTGGTGACAATGACGGATATACGATGTTGAGTCGATAATATGGTTGGTAGATGACGAGGTGGAAGAACATAACCGCCTTCAGTCCAACCGCGGATAATATAACGGATTTTAATATAATTACAATTCGAGGTTTCGAGAAATTCGCCACGAGATATCGAATTAATGATCCCGTTGCAGCTACATTACCTACGCGATATAGTTACAGATCGTAATTGCGGGATAGCGTAACCGTTCTAAAACGTATCTTGGATATAGTGTAACAAAAACCTTTTTTTAGGTCCGATTACTTTTTTTTCACTCTATTTTGACCATTTTTCGAAGACGTGTTCGGGAAATTTGTCTTAGACCTGAATATCCCTCTTTACCATAATATCTCATCTTGAGAGATTTCCAACCTGTTCTACCGGCAATAATGTTGAACGATAAAATTTAGCATAATCGTAGTGTAGCATCACGTTGCGAGATCGAAGATAATTTTCAGATAATTTTTAGTTAGGATTTATCGCAGATTATTCTGATCACAATCTACTGCGATTATATAATTTTATTTATTTTAATACGTACAGATACGAGTTGCGTGAACGATCACAGAACGTAATATGACCATTATGGTTTTTTATTCTCACTCATTAATTTCAAAAAACAGTGCTCGGCCGTGGCATTGTTGTGAGAAAACGGACGATAAACGTCTCGAAGGAAAAACGAGTTAAGGTGAAACTAACGGGTGAGTGTACTTGCGTGATTTGTTTGAAATTCTACTAAAAATGGATTTTCTCGTAACGGTTATCAATCAAAAATTAAATACGATTAGATTTAATATAATTTTCGGGAGTGCAAAGGAATATGTTGCAACAGATACATAGGGAAGGTCTTTTAATTAATTATTCTGCATACCACTTGCGGTTTTCGTTCGCGTTTGTTTCGTTGAAATTGATGATTTGTTGGTTAAAGAATTAAAAACCAATGTATACATGTACACTAAACATTTATACGCTTCTAATCACTTTATACCTTCTTTCAATCGCAAAGTGATATATTAAATACTAGTACCGGTACATCGAGTGTCACAATGGATAGAATTTTTTTTCAGTAATTTTTACACGTTCTGGAAATATATCAGCGACATCTCGTGAAAACCGTACGTTTTATTCTCGGCCAAGAAAAAGAGGGCGGTGAAAAAGTGGGTAAGAAAACTTTAAGAAAAACAGAGGGGTCGCTTTTCTTCGACGAGTATAAAGAAATTATTGTGAGGGTGGGAAAAACTCTACGCTTCCTTTTCCGTCAGATAGAGCTGCGATATTTACGCCGCCGTTTTAATGTTTTTCCAACGTATTTTAATCGGGTCGAACATCGTAATAGTACCGTGCATTTAAACCAATGATCGCAATCTTAAATAATAATTCGTGTATTTTAACGAGGAACAATAAGTTCATCCGTGTCACATTGTGTCAAACCCCATGGTTCTTAGAACAGATTTAAAAAATATCTAACGTTATCTATCAATCCAACCTACCAATCTATCTATTCTTCACATTTAAAAAGATCTGACTAAAAGTATTGAGAGTGAAGATATTTTAAATAAATTCTTAAAATCCTCCAGAATGCTGGTTTTAAAGTAAAATATCCATTACTGTTATTGCCTAATTATTGATATGTTAATTGTCTTTTATACGTTGTATAATTCTGTAGTTATATTAAAAAAATCGATTTTTTGGATAAAATAATATTTGAATATAATGTTTATAATTGATAAATAATTGAATTCTAAAGAGGGTGTGGGGGCGAAGCCCCACTTCGTAGATTTATGTAAATAATTGTAGCCCCACAACATTTTCCATGGATATCCGCTTATGATGGTCTATACTTATTTCCTACACACTATTATGTTCTGTAAATATTACAATTCATGAAGTAATCATAACTAACTTAAGTGTACATAAAGTTCTATTTTGGATGAAAAATATTGATTCAAATCCTAAATATAAAGTAAAAAAACATAATAATAATGGCGATTTTCATCCTTTTTTTTATATCTATTTAAAATCCATATTAGAATGTTTTTTTTAGGAAACTATCATTATCTAAATGCATCTGGTCAATGAGTTCCGTTACCAATGAAATTACTTTTTAATTATAACTAACTTTAATTGCATATAGTTGCAATAACATACCCTAAATCACTAAATAAATAAACACAAGAATGAGTACTATCAAATTTCTCATGAAATATAATTAATATATTGTGTTAATATATTAATACATTAATATACAGTCTATATCAGTATACCATTTATAATATTAAATAAGTATTAAATTAACGATTTCCAAAAATTTCAAAAGAATAATTCAAGAAAAAAAAAGATGAAAATTTAAGAAACTTAGGTTTTAAAAAATAAAAATAAATTATTACAATATCAATAAGGCCACAATTAACTTTTTAATTTATTTTATTATTTTATTATTATAATATACTTATTAATTTATGTATTTAATTTATTTAATTTATTGTTAACTTTTTATCTTAATTATATATATTTTACCTCACAATTAAATGAAAAATAATCATAGACATTAATAAAAATTGATTACATGCTATACTTTAAATAATAAAAACAATTTTTTTTTTATAGTTTACAAATTAGGTTTTTACATTTTACACTTAATATAATACAAATTGTATGTACAAGGGTTTATTATTCAATAATGATAAAAAAAAAATAAAAGCAATAATAATTTATAAGTCATATTTTACTTGATATGTAACAAACAGTTTATTCATTTTTGATGTTTTGGACAACCAAAATAAATAAAATTAAAAAAAATAAATAAATCATTTATATTTATAAGCTCTTTTAGTTATTATATATAATTAATTAGTAACTAATTGGACATTTAATTTTCTCTTAGGTACCTATTCTCCTTTATTTTTGTATTTCACGGTCTAGATAAATATCCTAGCAATATGTTTTGATTGATTTAGTTCTCATTTATGTATATTTATTTGTTCATTAATATTACTGTCCACATTTGTATGTTTATCTTATTTTCCACGATTGATTCAAGTGGATCGATTAAAGCAAAATGGATTACAATGTAAATATTAATTATAATATAATATTATACAGGTTACAACATTAGGTACTGATTATAATTAAATAAGCAATGTAATTATTTTGTCATACAAATTTTAAGTCTATTTTTGAAGTATTAAAATTTTTATCGTATGTAAAACTTGTTGAAAGTACTGTATGTGTATTTGTAAATCGGAACATATATGTAATACCCATTAGTATATTTATACAGAATATTTGAAATTGTTCCATTATTAACAAACATTTTTGTAAACTTTTGACTATATAAAATACATTTTTCAGTCCATAATATTTTTTTTTCATTATTGCTAGATAAATTATAATGTCTTTAATATTTTACAATGTTTAGAGTATATAACTTTTATTATAATTAAATATTTTTATATATAGTTCTATAGTTTTTTTTTTCATAGCTTTTTGACAACATGTTAGAGTTACTTTGTTACTTAGCCACTTTATTCGTGGCAAACTATAACATTCATCCTTTATCATATTTTGATGTGCATGATAATTTCAATATTGTATTTTAGTTTCTTGGTATTTCAAATTTTTAATTTTCTTAAAAGAAGTTTTAGGTTCTATTCATAATATATAATGGTAACCAAGTATGTAGTTCATTTTCATGATAACAAGTCCATTTGGCAGATGGAATCTTAATAATATTTCTGTAATATCCATTATTTTGTTCTTATTTTATTCTTGGTATCTTTTTTTTTTTTTTTAGAACTTTTAGTAAAACTATGATAGTTCGACAATTATAATACATATACACACAATATTATATAACATATTATAGGTAATGATTAAAAAAAATAAAATGAAAATATACGGAATATTAATTTTATTTGGTCTACCCAGTATTTAAAAAAAAATTTAGCACTAATATTTATATATCTAATATTTATTTACACTGCTGTAATCCTTGCAATCAAAGATTTTTTTTCTATGCTGTTAATATGATATATTGGCAACTTCTATCTTATGAAACCACACCGAAATTTACATT